GTAACAGCCTATTGTTTGTAAATGCCGCATGTTAACTAATTACATAAATTATGCTTACATTAACTATTTTTCCATCTTTCACACTAGGCCGTATAGGATAGTGCCAAATGGGCCAAATCCTGGCGGTGGTGCCAAACGTGGTGGTGGTGCTATCAGGCGGCAGATCACGTCCGCATCGGCCCGTGATGCTCGTACCTGTTCTGCTTGTTTACACTCGGGGTTGCCACTTTTAGACAAGATATGTCCCTTTCATCATCTACCAACCGATTGGTTAGTCATTTTGAATCGTTTTACAAGTTTTTGTTTGCGGTTTTTAACAAGCTTTGCTAACTTTCCTCTGTGTTGCATGCATGTGTCCACTTTTTTTTTTCTTTGTGCACGTAGAATCTTTCAGCCATTTATTTCTTTGAATAATCCTCCTTTAACGCACCATGTTTTTCTGTTGGATTCGTATGTGTTTATTGAAGTGTGCAAACAATTGACAAATCTCTAACCTGTAGTTAATGAGCTTTGTTTATCTTTTATTCACAATTTTGTGTGCCTCTGAGAAATGCATCATCACTACGCCAAAATATTTTGGGTGCATTTCCATGCTTAATAATGTGCTGTACATATTTGATGATAGACATTTTCGATTAAGTCAGGATATTCAAAAGCAATATTCCTCTGTTGAAAATCTGCCGGTCAATGTGAGCTACGAAATAAAGAAATTCAAGTTCAAAATAAAATCGTTTGATTTTTGTGGCAGACATTCAACGTGCGTCTTTCATGCATCTTGCAAGATCTTGCAGTCGAACGGGAAATCACCTATTGAAATTAATGACTTTTTATGAAAAAGGCAAAGGCAGCTCGTAGTTAGCTTAGAAGTTAAAGCATGGTGGTCGTCTCGCTACGTTTGATATTTGTGTTGATAAACATTGATTTTCCCACTATCCAATGCGATCTTCAAATGGAAATCACAATCACATGAAAATTACCTAATTAAAGCTTGGAAACGTGTCAGTTCGTACTCGTTGATCTGCGCAACAGTCAAAGGCGCCATCTTTGTTTATATGAGACCAATATATCTTACACATGCGCAGCATGACTACTACCATGCTTTAAGTTACACCCCAACTGTACTGTAAAGTTGTAATCAGAGAGCATTCAAAGACCAATAATGGGGTCTTGGGATTATTACACGTGTTGAATTGGCATATATTGTGGGGGGGTTAAAAAATGAAGGATTCATCCATGTTTTAAAATATTGCATCCTGCACCAATTTTTTCAAATAAGTAAATCTAGGAGAATACATTTTTGCTTTAACGCTATTATTAGCAAAGGCAAAGGAAATTTGAATTGAAATAAGAAATTGAAAGGATCCAGTGTTGAGCACTGGGGGTGGGGGCATTAAAATTTGAATGTATATTTCCCGCACTTGACACAAATTCTTGTCCCAAATAGTCCTAAGACGTCAAAAAAATGTATGGATGCTCTTGTTAATAAATCTAATCTATATCATTTCTTTTAGTGTTTCATTCTAGGTTCATATCATGCATACCTTGTAGATATTCTCATGTAGATTTAGCAATTCCATTATCTGAGTAGTGTCTGGCAATCTTTGGTTGCAAATTCTATAGATTGCGTCATCACATACAATTCCTTTTTGAAGATTATAGTGACAATATAGCTTACAGTGTCATCGCCCCCGTTATTTTTTGTGATCTCAACAACAATTTGTTGCTTTCAAGATTATGCGTGTCTGTTGCTGTCTACGTTATCGTTTCTCGTTTTTATTTTTGTTCAATAATTACAATGCTTTTCTTTTGTTATAGCTCTGATGCCATGGAAAAAAATCAAGATTTAGAATTTGAGAGAAACCAAGAAAGGTTCCTTTTCTTAAAGGTAAGCCCTATACATAGCTTTACATTCACAAAAGAAAATATATAATAAATTTGGCTATTTGGGGAAAATAACCAAATTTTGTGAGCGCTCTTGATTGCATTTGTGTGGATAATTTTTTTAAAATTTTATAATAATCACTGCGACTCATTGCAAAATAGTGTAAAGGGATTAATTATTCACCGGGTTTTCATTTTGCTTATTTCGTTGACTAGAAAATGCGCTAAATTAAAACCCTGTGAATATGTAAAATTTAGCATAGAACACATTATCTAAATGATAAAACCATGAATTTGAAACTCACTGAATATGCCTGAATTGGTAAATCAGCAAAATTTAAACCCAGTGAAAATTAGTCATTGTACAGTACCATATAAAGCTGGTTAACAAAAGAACATCTGCAACTATTTCCTTGCAGTGGGGTGCCAAAGCTTTCAAGAATATGTTAATAGTACCACCAGGGTCAGGCATTGTACATCAAGTAAACTTAGAATACCTAGGACGTTTAGTGTTCAACCAAGACGGTATTCTATATCCTGATAGTTTAGTTGGAACTGACTCTCATACAACTATGATTAATGGTATGGGAATTGTCGGCTGGGGTAAGTTGAATTTTAGCAGATATTCAAATCTACGATTGATATCCAGATCTTTTGGGGTCGGCTTCAGTACATTTGTTGGTTTTTCTGCAGTTTTTCAATTTTTTTGTAAATATTTTTGCCATCTTTTGTTTGAAAAAAT